TGTAGTTGTTGGTTGAGGGTCTCCTGTTTGGTCTGAAATATTCTGAACCCTGAATCGATGTTTTACAGTCAATATTTGCAGAATTCGCAGAATGTTTGAGTGTAAAAATTGCTTGATTGATCCCTGCTCAGTCCAAAGTTCACCACAATCCTTCAGCAGTCAGAGTCCCTGGACCTGGACCTGGCTCTGGCCTGTGGACCCGTGGTCCGCCCACTGAATGCTGACACCAGGTCTTTGACGCTGCTGGCTGAACGAGGCCTCTCATCATCGTCCTTCCTCTTTGTCCTCACCCTCCTCGGGTTGGTGTTGAGGCTCTTGGAGCGAAGTGCCGGGTACGTCCTGTCCTCCTCCACCAGCAGGTCCTCCTCTGGTCCGCTAGCTTCACCCTCCGGTTGTCTGCTGTGCAGCTTGGACTCCTCTCCTCCATCCTTGGAACTTGTGGCCCCCTGCTGGTCCTGCTGGCTGGGGCTGTAGATGGTGCCACTGACGGACCTCCTGTTGGAGGACAGGGAGCCGCTAAGGGTTGAACAGTGATGCGGGAGCTTCGACCCCTCCAGAGGGAGGGATGCTGCCGCCTCCAGTCGGCGCTTATCTGACGTCTTTTCTATGTCAGCACTGGTGGGGTCATCCTGAGCTGATGTGGTGTTGGGTCTGAGGTCGGGGTCACAGGGGGAGATCAGGATGTCAACACTCGACAACGACTGAGCTCCGTCCTTTAGTCCTTGAACCTCCAGAGTTGAGCCAAACTCCTTCACATCACCTGAAAAGAGGAAACACAAGATCAAACAGCAAATCATCTTTGAACCTTTGTTTCTCTGCCTTACAATTCCTGAGAGCTTCAGCAGAAGATGCTGATTTGTAGGTTTCTCGAAGATGCTTCTGACCACCAGCTCACATGAATCAGGGTCTGAATGGTGGTGAAACTGCCAGGAGAAGAATGTCAGGACTGAAACCGAAGTAGCTGATAGGTGGCGCTGTAGAGCCTCCTGTTCAGAGATGTGCGTTCCAGTTTGATGTTGTCCTTCATTCCTCCTCAAACCTTCCTCTCTGTCCAGAATGTGGACTTTGCTGTCCTCAGAGAGTCTCTGGTCCTTCAGGTGAAGCTGGATGCTGGGTCTGGTGCTGAGGAGCTGCTCTGCTGTAGCTTCCTCTCTCCTGTAGAAAGGTCTGGCATCTCCTCACTGCTCAGTTGCTGTTTTATCCTCAGGATGAATCAGTTTGTGTCTCACAGTGTTGCTGATGTGTTGTGTTTGTAGAAACTAGTCTCAGAATCTGCAGCTTCATACATGACAACAGTTTTGTTCCTCCTGCTCTTCTTCTCTGTTGCTGTAGTTTTTTCTTTGCCGCTACAGAAGAACATCTCAGGAGAGCAGCTGTCAGGACCAGACTCAGCATCCAGCTGAAGGATCAGAGACACTCGAAGGACAGTAAATGACAACAAACTCTCAGAGATGGTCTGGGAGAGGAATGAAGGAACACATCTATATTGAACCAGAGGAGGGGACCTTCTCTTAACGCTAACAGAGTTGGCTGGGAGCACCAAAAGGCATCTTTGAGGACTGTGCTACCTGAATGAGGATGTGGGTGGTGATGTGGTTGACGTTGGGGTAAACTCTGAGCCAATCAGAGTGCGGTCATGCCATCCTTGGAAGCTGAAAACTCCTGGCTTCCCTCCACCCGCTAACATCTGGTCATGTGACCTGCTATGAGGTGTCATGTGTCTGGTCCTACCTGCTGCACTACCTCGTTTCTCTGGACTCAGCTGGACCTTCTTGTCATTTCCGTCCATGTCTCCAGCCATGGACGTCCTGTCATCATGGTCCAGCTGGTACCGGTACAGGCTGTAGCCGTCGGCGCTGTTGATGCTGCTGTGACGCAGCAGGGAAGCCGGCTCGCACATGGACGACGCTCTGGAGTGGGACCGGACTAGTTCTGCCCGGTCGACGCCTGCCAGCTTCTCCACAGCGTTCATCATCCGGCCGGAGAACTCCTCGAGCTGAGCCAGGCGGAGGTCCACGGTCTGCAGGGAGGCCTTCATCGAGTGCTCCCTCTCATTCACCTCCTCCAGACGCATGAACATGTTCTCCACCCTGATGGAGGGAATCCAGACACAGCGGAGCAGCTCATCAACTCCACATCAGACTCACTCTTTGACAGATTGATATAAACATGTCTGAGCGAGGGCTGAAACAACCCATCGATTTAATCGATTAAAATAGTTGTCAACTAATTCTGTCATCCATTCGTTGCTTAATAATTAACTTTTTAATGTAAGCGGCCCGTTTTTTCAGATCTTAAACCAATGTGTTCTAGCACAGGGGTTCTCAACTGGTGGGTCGCGACCCAAAAATGGGTCGCGGACAGCTGGTCAACATTAAATCATATATAATGTGCCTCTCAGGTTGGACTCGTTTTTTATTTTGAAAAAACTTTTATTTTGACAGGCACGGTAACCATAGTTTGTTTGACGTTCATTTTAAGTTTGTGTTGATGTCGGGATGCAAAAACGTGACCCGGAGTATTTAAAATGTGGGTTTTCATGCTAGGACTGGACCCGAATAGCCGCCTATTGGTTCACTGTGCTGGAATCAGGAAATCAGTTTGGATCTCCATCGCCTCCACCACCGATACAGCAGGCTCAGCGCCCACACCCCCCATCTGAATAATGTTGTTTGTTTTAGAGTAGTTCTGATATTTATTTGATTCACTTTTCATGCAGTGGTCATGGTCCTCCTTAGTTTCTGATGAATTTGCTCAAAATGGAGTGAAAACATGTTGCTTTGTGGCCTTTTTAATTTTGTGCAGTTTTGTACATGCAGTGGTCATGGTCCAGTTACTGTGCATGGTTACAAGCTCTGAAATGCATGTTGCACAGCAAAATATATTGAATTCTACAAATAAAGTGGGTGGCGACTTCATGACCACGGGAAAACGTGGGTCCCAGGGTGAGACCAGTTGAGAAGCCCTGTTCTAACAGCTACCAGAGTGTGGCAGTAACGAGCCGCCAGTGGCTGTGATCTACAGGACAGCAGGAGGAGCGGCTAATAGCCAATAGCTGGCCTTGTTTTGTGTCACATCGCCACAGCAGTCAAAACATCCAGCGAGATGCCGGCGGCGGCGGCTGGCGAACGTTCGAAGAAAAAGGAGACAAGAGCTGAATCAGGAGAGAAAACTTCACAAAGTCATCCAAAGCTTGGGACCACTTCAGACCAGATCTACAAAAACGACGAGTGACCTGCAAACTTTGTCAAAACAACCCGTTTTTTGTTGTTGTTTTTGAACCTATTTTACCTCATTTTCTGTGTCTGATGCTTTGAATTGGAAAAGCTCGACACTGTCATGTAGATATGAAGCTCAGGTGCTCCTTCTGATTGAACTGTTTTACAGAAACTATTTTAATAAAATGCTGTAAATGCAGTTCTCTTGTGCTTTTCTTTTTCTTAGTGAAAACATGTTCTTAATAACTTATCTGGGTAAATGAAGGCTAAACCAAAATGACTGTTCACAAATATGATCAAAATAATGGACAGACTAATCGATGATCAGACTCCTCGGGAGCTCCAGCTCCTGTGTCGGTCCTGCTGCCTGATGGTGCAGCTGTCTGATGCTCCATCACGTTTCAAACTGAAGCCTGTGGTGCTTGTATGGTCTGTACAGGACATCACAGCACCGCTGCAATGTGGCAGCTCCAGGTTGACGGATACCACGCTACTCTGAGATGTACAGCGTTTGTCTGGTCGTAGACTCTGTCTGTGTTTCCCTTCAGTCTGCTGTTTCATAGAATCACAGCTTGTCTGATCAGGTTGAAGAGAGAAGATCCGAGCATCAGGCAGCTACGATCCCGTGTTTGGAAAATAGAATAAATCAAATATTTGATATGAAAGTAGGGCTGCAGGGTGGCTCNATCTATCTATCTATCTATCTATCTATCTATCTATCTATCCATCTATTTATCTATCTATCTATCTATCTATCTATCTATCTATCTATCTATCTATCTATCTATCTATCTATCTATCTATCTATCTATCAGCTTCAACATGCCTCCATCATCCGACACTGGGAGAAAGTTGCCTTTAAAAGTATTTTCCAGCAGAAACACGTTTTTTTTTTTTTTCCTGGAAAAAGAAACAGAATCTGTGTCTTCATTTTAGTGTTTGGTCACCGCATGTTTGAGCTTCCTGCTGGTGTCTTTCTTTAAGTTGTTTGATTGAACAAGCCCAGAATCTGCAGCGTTCTAAAACCTGAATCCAGGCTTCTTCTTCTTCTTACATTGTTTTTTCATATATAGATATATATATAAATATGCCTTGTTCTTCTCCTGCAGTTATTTTAAACCTAACGTGTTGGTCTGAAGCAGCTTTACTGAACGAATAAAGACATTAAACAGAGTTTTGTTCTCCTGTGTTCTGTCTCCGGTGCAGAAACCTCCTGGTGAACAGTTCCGGGCTCAGTGGTGCAGCTTCTCCGGGGTTTTCTTTAAACTCTGTTCAGATTTGAGCTGAAGGTCCAGGATGGACCCACTAATCCTTTCTCTGATTCTTCCAGTAGTTTCTGCTGTAGATCCAACAGCTTCAGCATTAACTAGAAACCAGAACAAACCGTCACCAGCTCCAGTTCTGTGTAGGACCCAAAATAATGGAGGTTTGTTAGAACATCTGGAGAACTTTACGTTGTTGATGGTGATGGTCGTTAGCACTGCTGCTGCTGCATCTGTGCATGAGAAAACTCACCTGCTCCGGCTTAGAAGAGTCCCTGATTCACACTCATCATTCCTGCCTTCACTGCTCAGCATTCTGTTTGTACCTGGAAGACCTGAAGCCACAGTGGAGGATGTGTTGGTGCAACATACTGCAGTACTGCNAGAACAACATCATCAAGAGCTTCTACAGCAGAACCAAGTGGAACCAGAACCTGGACAGTGTGAGTCCTGGTCTGAGTCCACCAGAAGCCCTTTGAGGTGTTTTCCAGAGAAAGGAGGAGCAGCACAACCCCTCCAGCAAAGAGCAGCTGAATGAAGCAGAGTGAAGAACGTGAGAACATGTTCCTACTGTTCCTGTTGAGCTTCTACAGTGGAGCCTGGATATAATATAGGAAATCTAAAGTAATGTGATTACTGTGAGGTGAGAATCATTTGACACTGAGGTGATGTTACACGGGGTGGACTCACTGCTGTTCTGTACTCTTTATCTGAGCAAAAAGCTCAAGTGTTCCAAAAAAATGAAGCCTGATTTTTCCATGAATCATCTTTAGTTTCCAGTATGACTGACAGGAAACACAGAAATCCGCCTCCTGGAACATTTATTTATCTAACGGCATCAGAGAGCTACATCAGGACACCTGCTGCCTGACCTGACCACATCAGCACAACAAGGTCAGGCGTGACCCGTAGAAATGGATCCAGACTTACGGAGGCGTCTCTCGCGGTCGTCGTGTTCGCCCTCCGGCCTGCGTCGGCAGCGGCAGCAAAGCCTCTTCAGGACGATGTAGATGTGGGGGAAGACGATGAGTGGAGGAGGCAGGATGGGCCGGTCGTGGAAAGTCATGATCAGCTGATAGCGCTGGAACTTCCACACCTGGTTGGAGATGGACTTCACCTCAAAGAAGGTGTTGCTGTGGAGGAAGCAGCAGGTCTGAGTCACTGCTGGACCGACTGGGTGAAGTCAGAATTTAAACCATTGATCATTGTCAATTCATCTGCACAATATTGTCTCAGTCAATCATAAACCAGAGGTTACATCTAAAACTCAGAGATTCAGTTGGCTGTCATATAAACTGAAGTTTTCAATAATCAGCTGATGGGAGCATCTCTAGGCGACGTGTGGACTGATGGGTTCTACTGAATATTACTGTCAGAAACTGTCCGATCTCGTCTTTGTCTGTTTAATGCTCTGATCTCCAACAGTTTCATGTTTCTTCACTGAGATTCATGTTTCAACATAAAGTCCTGCAGCTCTGTGGAGCCAGAACCACATGAAGATGGAGACAGAACTCAGACTGAGGTGTTCTGCAGCAGCTGTTCTGGGATCAGTGCACTGACTTGAAGACGGCGATGAGCAGGTTGACCAGCAAGATGTTGGCGACCAGCAGGTAGCAGGCCATGATGGCGGGGGTGAGCCAGGCTCCAGGGATGCAAGGAGGAAGCTTCTTCCCATCTTCATCGTACATGTTGTCTCCACATGGGGCTGAGACATAAACGTGTTCACAGTTAATTCACACATCTGGAACGTATCCGTCTGTCCGACCATAAAGAATCGGGGAAGAGTCTCTGCACACTGCAGAGAAAGACCCGAGTGGAGCTCTGACTGATTCACAGACTGACAGTAAATATGACATGCAGTGAAAAAGTTCAGCTGAGAAACGCAACAGAAATCATTTGTTAAAATAAATGTTGAGGCTCAACAACAACAACAAAAACCCAAATCTTTCTGAGATGAGACAACTTGACATTATGTTGAGTTAAAGGTGTTTTAAACCACCAGTCACATCGTAGCTGGTGGCACAAGCTTTCTTTAGTAATCTAATGCAGTAAGGAGAAAGACAAAAGAATCATATGAAACAAACAACCAGAACCTCTTCAGAACATCTGGTTCTGTATCTGCAGCACCTTTATCTACTGACCAGAGTTCTACCTTCAGACTGTGAATGTTCCAGAGGTCCAGGTCCTTCAAGTCCACAGAGGAGGGTCCAGATTGATCACTTTAATGGACTTTTTCCATCATTTCTGAGCCTNTTAAGGTGTAGAGATGATGGATGGATGGATATGAAAGTAAAGAAATAAACAGGTGAAGTGGTGTTGCCACGGCGATCAGCTGCTCACCTCTCAGACGTGACTCTGATTCGCTCGTTGTTGGACGACTGCTTCTCGTCGTCTTTCTCTCTGAAGTATTCCTCCACACACTGCTCTTCGAACTCATGCAGGCTCTTCAGCTCGTCGGCATTCAGCACCAGCTCTGAGGAAACACACCAGCGAGACTCAGCGGTTCTGGTTCTGACCCACCCAGACTCATGACGCCCACTCATGTGCTGACGTGTTAGAGAGCCTCAGAGGTCATGTGGTGAGTTTATGTGAACAAACTGAAGACGTCATTCTGTGACCTGCAGCAGCATCAGTTTACTGAACCAGGACTGAGTTCTGAAGCAAAACAAAGCTGATGGTCAGCGAATTAACCAGAGTCACATCAGGTTAGTGAACACACCTGGAACTCAACCAGCAGTGAAAGAACCAGAACTCTTCAGATTCAAAGTCCTGTTTCTGGTTATATATGATGACTGTAGCTGACATTAATGCTGGCTGCTGGTTGGGCCATGGATCTGTGTATTAACATGATCAGAGGAACCTAATTCCTGAAGGATCATTTCACTTTGTTTCAGCTGTGCTTCCCGTTAATGTCTCCATGAATAAGAAGGACTTCTCCACCTCCACTGGAGATAGTCAAGGAAACACACATGAACAGTTTACAGTGTAGACAGCAGTGAGTCCACCGTATTATTTACGACATCAGTTAAATGTCAAATGATTCTGAGCTGTATAACTTTACAGATTTTTTTCAGCAAAGTTTATCCTCTGATGATCAGAAACAAACCCGTTATAAGGACAATGTTAGAATTCAGGCTCCAAAGTAGAACCTCAAAGAACCACAGGGAGTCCAGCTGTGGTTCCATCAGTCCACCTGCATGAACATGGTTCTACAATGAGCTGAGAACAGCAGAACCTTCTCAGTTCTGGACCTCTGGACTGTGTCTATCTATGTCTGCATCATGGCTCCACATGGAGAAGACCTGAACAGAGGAGGAGAAACATCTGACTGAGAGACTGGACAAAGATGGAAAAGGATCCAGAAGATCAGTGAGCAGCTAGAACCCAG